ACCTAAAAATATATTGAAAATGTTATAAGAAGAGGTTGTGGTGATAAATTTTGTCTCGCAAAAATTTATGCACAAGAGTTATGAGTAAACTTTCTAACTTTCTAAAAATAAAAGTTGTGGAAAGACTTTTTTCAAAAAAAAAATGGGAAGCTCTCTGATCCTTCAGATCATTATTACCAAAAGATAACTTAGAGTGCCTGGTTACGCAACATCGTCGGTTCTACTCCCTTTGACTTGAAATATAAGGTGTCGAAGGTTCAAAATTTGTCCTAAATTATAAGATGTTTTGTACTGCTCAACCTCATCCATACGTATATGCCTTTTAAACATCATCCATACATGCCTATCAATGACATGCATGGTCTTTTTAAACCACTCCCTCCGTTTCAAATTATAAGTCGCTTTGACTTGTTTGGTACATCCATTTTACTATACATATAGATATAATAATATGTTTAGATACATAACAAAATGGATGAACCAAAAAAGTTAAAACGACTTATAATTTAGAACGGAGGGAGTATGTGTTACTAGGAAATTAAGCAAGTTGAAAACCAAACTAACTAATTAATGATGGGCAAGTTCTTTGAGTTTGGATCCTTTTCTTTGAGGCAGACAGGCCTCCGCAAGTTGACTCATCTTGTTCAACTTCTTTGAGTTAATTTGTGTTGTAAAAAAAACTTTTTTGAGTTTGGATTCTTTTCTTTGTATCTTTGATGGGCAATTTCTTCCTTCTCTTCCAAATCTTCGTGAACCGACTTCTCACCCATGATTGACCTCGAAAGCAGACAGGCCTAGGCCCATTAATCCATTATGTACTCCCTTCGTCTCTTATTAACTGTCGCTATGCAAGACGTGTTGGTCAAACTTCGTTAAGTTTGACTAAGTTTATAGAAAATATTAACAATATTCATAAGTTTATTATGAAAATATATTCATGATCTATCTAATCATACTACTTATTTTATAAATATTACTATTATATATATATATATATATATATATATATATTTAGTTAAAGTTAATTTATTTGACTTCTCGGAAAACAAGAACGATAATTATTTAGACACAGATGAAGTAGCTCAGAAAAGCTCCAATCGGGCTATTGCCAGACTCGACTATTGTGCGTTCATTAAAATTTCATTAATCATTTAACAAGGACGAGTTCACTAGAACGTACCACTGCCACCAGGAACACAAACAAGAAGTTCTCAAAAAGGAAAATAAAGAAACACAAATGACACGCAGCACTGGCGTATACAGGCATGCGGATTCGTCATCTTGTCGTCCTTCAGGCCGCGGTCACCTCCTCCACGAGCCGCTGGAACTCGGCCATGGCCGCGGGCGGCAGGCCCAGCAGGACGCGGACGCCGCCGCCCCCTTCCTCCCCGCACGACAGGAACAGCGCCACCTCCTTCTCGGGGAGCGCCGCGGGGCCGCACGCCGCGGGCGGGCCCCACCCGAAGTCGGCGGCGCGGAACGGCAGCCTCGACCAGGCCGTGATGAGCAGCGTCGACGCCAGCGACGGCCGCGCGCGCGTCGCCTCGAAGTAGTCCACCGCGGACCGCATGTAGGCGTCCGTCACGGCCCCCGCGGCGGCGCGCACCAGCCGCACGGCGTGCGGCAGAGACGACGCCAGCTCCCCCGCGGGGCACGCTGCGCTGGTCAGCACGATGGCGTTGCCGAAGTACCCTGCGGGGAGAGGCGGCGAGAACCTCGGCCGCCCGTCCACCGCGAACATCAGCTTGCTCCGGCGCGACGGGCGCATCCCCAGCGCCCGCGTGCGCGCGCTCCACACGAACCCGGCCAGCGCCTCGAACGTGGTGCACGCGCGGCCCTCCAGCGCCACCGCCGCCTTGAGGCGCGCGATGGACGCGGGCGTGAACCGGAACGAGCGGTGCAGGAGCGGGGAGTCCGACTCCTCCTCGTCGTCCCCATCGTCTTCCTCATCGTCGTCGTCGGTGATCTGCGCGAACTCGTGGTGCGGGAAGTCGACCTGCGGCGGGTCGCGCGCGCGGAGGACGGCGCGGTCGAGCGCCGGCGGGAGCGACAGCGGGAGGCCGCGCGCCGTCTCGCCCCACGAGTTGACGAACTGCATGGCACCGACGCCATCGAACATGCAGTGGTTGATGGCCAGACCCAGCACGAAGCCGCCACACTTGAACTTGGTCACCTAGCATGTCCATGGATCGATCGCCCATTATTAACTCCATCGATCCAGGAGATGAGCAGCAAATGGTGACCGCCTGACCACGGATAGTATAGTACGTACCTGGGCTGCAAGCAGCGGCATCTCGAGTATGTTCTTGGCGCCGGGGACGCTGTACACGAGCCTGCCGAGCACGGACGGGTCGGGGTCGGTGACGTCGCCGATGTCCGCCATGGCGCAGTCCGCCTCGGCCTCCACGAACACGGCGCCTTCGCCCGTGCAGTCCACGACCAGCTTCCCCTCGCCTGAGATCGCCAGCCGCCCGGCGAGCGGGTAGTAGTGGACGAGCACCTTCGCCAGCGACTCCCTCAGCACGTCGCAGGCGCTGATCCCGTCGCCGGCGCCGTCTGCCGCCCTGAAGCAGTACACGGTCTGCACGATGACGGCGATGTTCTGGTCCAGGTTGGAGAGGTAGTAGAGGCCGCTGGGCGTCTCCTCCGCCGGCGGCACCAGCGACGACTCCCCCTGCTGCTCGATGCGCAGCTCGAACACGGCCTGCAGGAAAACGTACGCATGGTAACTCCACCGTGTCAGAAACGGTGACAACAACACGACGAGCGGGCAAACTGGATGAACGAACATTACCATTGTCGGAGTCGGATCTGCAGTGGACCACCAATGGATTGGATCTGGACGAACTTGGAGGGGAGCGGATCGAGGAAGAAGGCGTATAAGAAGAGAGGTTTCTTGTGCGTGTGCACGAGTAAAGGTGGTTGGGACATTTGGATTGAGTGAGCCTATCTCACGCGACCAGCATGCAATGCACGGTAGTTCTCCAAGCGGGTGAGAATCGGGACGACCTGTCCAAATGTCCAATGCAGCGTCGTACGGTATTCCAATGATCGTGGCAAAACGGTTTAAGGACACTGACCAGTGACTAACATGGTCGTATCGCATTATGGCCTCGTTTGTCATAGGTTCAACTTCAATGTTAAAACTGATTTTTTTTTTTTTAAAAAATAGCTTTGCAAGCAGCTTATTTGATGAAGCAAAGCTGTTTTGGAAAAAATTATTAGCAAAATAGCTCCACATTGTAGACAAAGCAATAAAATGACTGTATTGCCCTTTGCTTTTCTTTTTTCTATTTTTTCCTCCTCCTCCCTCTCGTGTTTTGAACCTGTCGTCTCCTCAAAACAGTGTTTTTCGTCTCTTCATCCCAGGAACGGGGCCTCTATTTTTCCGTCGTCTCCTCACATGCGTCTCTTTCCTGTCTTCCTGATGCGGTTCGCATGTGAGAGGTCACCGCGCCGCTACATGCCTGCATCGCCAGCGGCAGCCGCACCCACGACGGTTGCGGCCTCTTCCACACCAGCCCTGGCAAGCGACGGAGGCTGGAAGGCTGCAGGCACCGAGTCGCCAAGGCCGAGCCATCCAATCCCCTCAGATCCGACTTGCGAGTTGTGACCGGCCGCGCCACCGGCGGCCGTGCTCGCGCGCGCCGGCAGCACGCACCCCCGGCGGCCGTGCTCGCGTGCACCCTGCCGGCCACGGCTGCCCGCGCCCCGGCGGCGGCACCGGCGCCCCGGTGACCGCGCCTGCCCTTCCGGCCATGGCTGCGAGCTCGAGCGGCTGCGTCCCGGCGCCCGCCGCAAGCTCGCGCGTCCCGGCCCGGCAACCACGCGCGTCCCAGCGGCCCTCCTCTCAGCAGCTGAGCGCGCTCGCTGGCCCCGGCGGCTGTCGTCGAGCACTCGAGCGGCGCCCATTTCTCACGTGTAGCAGCGCCTGCGTCACTGGGCAGAGCTCGTCTTTACACAGCGTGGGGCCCACAAAGTGGCAGGTAAAGCTGGGACAAGCTATTTTTTTTTCCAGCTTCCTTCCGAACTCATATCTATACGAGGGAAGAAGAAAAACAGCTTTACCGGTAAAGCTGTTTTGAAAATAAGTGAAGTTGTTGTGACCTATGTTATGCAGAAACTAGAAAGGTTTGATAGGGGAAATGGCAAGCAGGCACAACAACAGTGTCAGAAAACCGGACGAATTAGCCATGACGGTAGACCAACTAACATGGTATTCTAAATTTGAGAGCATCAAGTATTCTAGATTTCAGAGAGCATCAAGTTTGGAAAATCGTTACACCGATGCGAGAGCAACCATCAAACTACGAGATGAAAAAATGTCTGACAAAAGAATAACAGATGCATAGACAGTGACTGCAGCTGTTGTCATTATCATCAGAATTCAGAAGGATTTCATCTACAGACCTACAATCCACCAGCAGCTCATCTGCTCTTGCAGATGGCATACGTGCTTCCCTCAAAAAAAAGACACCAAACAGAAGCAGCGCACACATAGCGAACTGAAGCGTCTGAATTCATGGGACGAGCACTTGAAAACGCTTAAGATCACACAAAAAGACCCAACAAAAATGAAGCACAGTGCTAACAATGCGATGGCGATGTAAATAAGAAATGCAAGGAGCAGGAACGATTCAGAACTCAGATACAGAGTTTTACATGATATAAATGGACGAAACAAGCCAAGAATTATTCTGCATATTACAGTCAGGCTAGCTACCTAAGCAACCAAGCTATTAATCGCAAAGCTATCGTACATGACCAGCAGCTAGACTACATTCACTACCAAGTCAAGCACAACTAGGTGTGTATGGCTGTGAAATGGTTAACAATCTTGTAACCAGTACCCAGGTCACCGGCTCGTCTTGCGGTGCCCCAATTGTACAGAGCCAAACCTCCAAACAGGAGAACTGGCATGAAAATAGTCCTTCCAAGTTCAATCTAAACCACAGATTAACAAGAGACTGATCTGACCATGTCACATCCAGTCCACAGAATCACTTCTCTTCACCTCCATCAGGATCACTCTTTGACTTCTCCACCTTACCATTGTCTTCTGCTTCATCTTCTGAGTCTTCCTCACCTTCATCATCAGACATACTATTTATTACCTCTTCTATGATGCGCTTTACTTCTGCTTTTCTGTCCATGAGGTCCATTTCAAAATGGGTACCTGGGTTTAAAAGAATCAAACATGTCAGTACACTCATCTGTTAGAAAACTAAGGTTAGAGTCAGTATATTAACAATTTTTTCATTTATCTACTCCAATGAAATTTAAGCAACATAAAAAGGTACCTAATTGTCTGAGAATATCAGCCAAAGTTGCCTACATAAAAAAAATAACCAGTCAGAATACAAAGCACATAAAACTATGGACCATGTTCAAAACATAATCAATTGCTTACTGTGTTGAAGTCAACTTCCTTCAAAATGCTGCTAACAACAGCATGAAGCTGTTCAGTGGTTGGGGCAGTCCCAGCAGCTGCACCACCCTTGCCTTTTCCTGCAGAGCATAGACAGAAAATAGCTTATTAGGGCTATGGCGGTCAAGCAAAGTATACAAACTCATGTATGACATCTCAAAAAAATACTAATGTACCATCACAGGTCACAAGCCTTTAACTGAAACTGATTTTTGTATAATGTATAAAAGGAAAAAAAAAACTTGCAGTCTTAAATTAACCAGCGCAAATGAACTCAGAGCTGCACTAGGATGGCAATAATCAGAAATGATCAGATTGGTACATGTATGGACCAGAACAATACCAATCAATAGACACTGCATGTGGTAAGCATTACCAAACTTATACCTTTATTCTTATTGGATGACCTGGCAGCTTTATTGTTTTGGGTTTCTTTTCCATCATCCTTTTTGGATATAGGAACCTTCTTGTTTGACTTATTTGAATCTGGTGACACAACACTTTCTTTTGAACTCTTTGCCCTCTTGCCGACCTTTTTAACCTCTACCTCAGGCTCATTTTTACTGTTTTGAGAAGGCTTTGATGCACCTTTTGCAGGTTTCGTTGAACCCTTTTTTCCTGGTGTATCCTTTTCCTTTGCATCAGAACCAGTTTCTTTCTTAGCCTGTTTAGCATCTGTAGACTTTTTCTTTGCTGGAGGCTCATCAGGTTCATCATCACTCACAGCATGATCATTTGCCTCAGAGTCCCCATCAGCTTCCTCTCCTGCCGATGCATCCTCAGAACCAGCAGGATCAGCATCATCCTCATCATCATTCTCTTTACCATCTTCAGCTGCTTGTTTCTGGACTCTTTTCCTTTTCTGTTCAATAAGACAAACAGACGCCAGGATTCCATTAATATCAGTAAAAAAGGAATGCTGTGACAAAAGTAATTTATTTAACCGCTATAGACATTGCCCATGTATGTTAATTTATTGTCTAGACAGTAAGAAATAACTAGAGTACTAAAAAAAGGAGAGCTCGAAGAGTATACATAGTCAATTGTTGGGCGACAGTTCAAGAAAAGAGAGAACAGCACCTCAGTAGAAAAAAAGACACCAGTGTTCAAGGAAACATAATTAAACATTCACCTAGGTGCTCTTGAGCGCAAGGCAGAACCATAACACATTATGTAGGCCACAGCCATCCAATTAAACACAGAGTGAACTGTCAGAACCCATGGATGTTGAAGAAAACAAGAGAGGAGATAAGGTTAGGATGGCAAAATTGCTCAAAGGGAGGGGGCAGTGCAGCTGTGTGAGAACAACAATTGGCTGCTGCGAATTGGTGGCGGTAGGTAGGGGCGCATGACATCAATGGGTGTTATGGTGTTTAGATGGGCTAGTCAAGTTCCTGCATTTCCTCCCAGACCTGAGTGGGTTGTTAAGACATTTGGTTTTTTCTTATTTATTCCTACAAATTTATGCAACTACATCTGTTGATATGGCATTCAATCTATGTTTAGCTCTAGGCAATAGGCGGTGACTTAGAGCCTGCCAAGCACCTAGTGCCTTTTAGAACCTTGAAAGACACCAATAATCAATCATAACACACCAATATATTAGATATTTAGACTAGGACTTGAGAATCTATAGCCAATCCAAGTGGTTATATCTGGTTACTGAAATAGCCATTTGAACAGCTATATTTGACACATAAAAACCAATTCAATCAGCTATATAGCATTTTGAAATCTATCTATCTATTGATAGATAAAATAGACAACTCAGTGGGTTACATGTTTACATAGCATTTTGAAATAGCTATTTCTTGAATCACTTATGAAAAATAGCCTTTTCAAATAGCTATTTCTTGATACCTAAATAGGCAACTCAATCAGCTATATCTGTTTAATCAAACAGCTATTTCTTAATACCCTTAAAGCCAATTCAATCAGCCATATGACTTTTTTAATAGCCATTTGAAATAGCTACTTCTTAATACCTAAATACACAACTCAGTATACCTGGTCTACATTTTCTTAGAAATGCATCAATAACTTTCCTTAGTTCATTTTTGCAGAAAAATCAAGTAAACAATACTAAAGCAAAATGGACTGGGGAGGCAGGTTGTGTGATTATTTAGAATCAAAGCACCTGGCTTCAAGGCACAGGTGAATACGCTAAAGATAAATGGTTGTTTAGGATTTGACAGGGCACTAAAAAGGAAAAGTTTTAGCTGCACCCAACACCAGATATTATTACCTTCTCTGCAGAAGCACCTTCAGAAGTTGCCTTAGATTTCCTTCCACGTTTCTTCCCCTTCTGCAATGGCAGACAACAGGACAGACAATTCAGTTCATGGTGCCAAGCTCAGAGCTAATAAGAAGTGGAGTACTGCTAATCATACAGCACTGCCCTTAAGGCCATAACCAGCCAATCACATTGCTTTAGATGGCCCCAGGCCAAGAAAAAAAATAATCACAGGTGTATGACCAGAGAGTATTTTATGCATAGCAATTCCAAAAGTTGTACCTTTTTATCAGTGAGAACAACATCCCTGGTAACATAAGGAGACTCCAAAAACTCCAAGAGCTTGGCAGAAACTTCTTCCTGAATTTCAGCAAAACACCGACCATTAATAAAGATCCCACTGCTCATGAATAAACAAAGCTCAGCTCAGCCAACTAACCTTCTTTGTAGTTACTTTTACATTAATGTCCAGTACTTCACAAAAATCTAGCAACTTCTCCTTGTTAAATTTCTCAAGCTTTTCCTTTATTCTGTTCCTCTGCTTTTCCTGATGAACATAACACAGGCAGGGCAAACATGACCAACAACACACAAAGCCTAAATAATCCAAGCATAGTTGCAAAAAAAAGGTCAGGCCATTCAAACAGTATAACAAAGCTGACAAGAGTGCTATGATTGGATTAGTACAGAATATATATATGAGATAACCACAACTGAACCTATAAGAAAGAAAACTTGCCACTGCTTAAAGCATTCTATGTTGTATCATTATAGACATTAGGCTAGTACAGTATACAGTATTACAGCAAGCAGTGACTATTAACACAGAGGTGATCCACTAAATGAAGCTAAGCACATAACATGGGGAAAAAACTTCTTTTACATAATATGGTTGTCATGGAAAAAACTTACTTGATTGTCTGTCCAAACAAACCCAGAAAATTGAGATATGTTTCTCTTCAAAAAATGGTTCTGCAGAGAATCAACACAGTTTAACAAAGTAGATGAAATAAACCATACTGGAGCTACAAAAGACTTGTGGAATCCTTACATTTGATTTTCTCCCATACAATACAGTATGAAGGCTCTGGAGATTCTCATCAGTCTTTCTCTTTGATAGTTTGAATGAAACTGGTATTGCACGTACAAGAATACAGATTAAGAATCTAACAGATAATAAAGCACCAATCAAAAGGCAAGATCTGCTCATAAAATGTTTGCTTTTATTCAATGCAATTTTCTCTTTTCACTTTTTTTGCCCAGAATATCAACATAATTTTTCAACAAACAGGAAAGTCAGTGATCATGATACTGAGACAATTTGATCAACATGTAGAATAGAGCAGTCAAAAGTTGTGCAACAATCTTTTCAAAATGACAGAATTGTAAAGTTTTTTATAAGGAACAACAGAACTGTAAACACAGTTACACAAGGATACCCACATAATTGGTACTTACAAGCTACTTGCGACGTTAAACGTTATCTTCATCGAATAGCTAGTACAAGTCTAATATTTATTTTTCTGACATATTTAAGCTTTAAGGGTTTCCTCCGGTAGCCAGTGCATGGTCCAACATGGAGCAGACGAATTGATTCATCCTCACTGGAGCCAATTCTTTGGAAGAGAGAGAATGAATTGACTCGTCTTCAAGAGTCAAATTGTGCCAATTAAAATAAGAGAAGCAGAACCACTAGGTTCTGCTTGTTAGGAAAACAGATGGGCAAAAGTCAAGATGGCAACAGGGCCCTGATCACTGATCCCGACGGGGATTTCATCCATTAGGGGATGAAGCCAAAACCTATCCCCATCGGGTGAAGCGGGGAAGGGAGCGTTCCCTACTTCCCCGTTGGGGCCCCTGGCTGTGTTTGTGCTGGCAGCAAATATGTAAAAAGAAGCCCAGTAAAAATGAATTGGCCCAAGCCCAAGGATAACCCTAGGTTCCCACCCATCCATCCCTTCTAGACTTCGATCAAACCCCGGCTACCACCAGTGCCCCAGACCCCAGTATCGCATCCCTCGATCTCTTCCTCTTCCGCCACTCGATCGTCCCGCTCCCTCATCTCCGCACAGAACGGACGCCAGCGCAGGCGCGCCTTCCTCTTCCTCCACTCTAGGTCATCCTGCTCCTCCGCTCACGCCCATCCTCTTTCTTCACGCTCGGCTCCTAGGCTCGAAGCGACGGCCTACGCTCGAAGCCGAGACAGGGATCGGGGACGGGGAGCGGGGAAAATTGAAGATTTCAAGGACGGGGGCGGGGTATCGATCCCCGCCGAGGATGTCCCCGTTGCCATCCTGAGGCAAAAGCAAGTAGGAACTGTTTTTTAAATTTGGCAATGGGAAGTAACAGCTGCATACGTCAGCGATATTTTTTGCACATGGGTCCCACATAGCTAAGTTCAGTGCAAGGATCGACTCGTTTGGAAGCTCACGTGGCTGACTCTCTCTCATGCATTGACTCACCGCAGTTGATGCCCTAAGAGCATCTCCAGCAGCTCCCATATCCCCAATCCAACTACCATATTGGGGGAGTTGGCTCAAAAATTTGCTCCAGCAGCTCCCCCTTCCCATCCCCATTAATTGGTGATCACCAAAAATCACCTCAACTCCCCCCAAATAGAGGGGAAGATTCAGCTCCCCCCAAACCTCACCCGCATCCCAACCGTTGGGATTTCCTTCCCACGCCCACACTGCAGGCTGCTGTTCCCGCCGGCAGCCTCCAGCTTGCGTCGTAGAGGTGGAGGTGGCTGAGCTCGCGACGCGGTGATGTTTCTGGTGAGCAGCGGCGCGACAGTGGAGGTGGTCAAGCTCCAGCAGCGGCCCAGCTTCCTCAAGCTTGCAGGAAGCGGATTTGGGGCAGCGGCAACCATGCCTGTGATTTTTGGTGATGGCTGCGATTTGGAGCAAAGAAGATAAGGGAAAGGGGCTCCATGGCCGTGGCAGAAGGGGCGGAGGGGGGCCATGGCCAGGGGCAGACGAGCACCATGGCTGGGGTGGAGGGGGGCGAAGGGTGCCATGGCCAGGGGCCATGCACGGGCGAAGACCCTGGGTGCAGCGGGGGCTCAGGGAAGAATATGCGATCGGCCTGCTGCCTCCGAGAGAAAAGGAAAGAAAAAAAAAACTAATCTGGCAGTATTGGAGGAGATTATTGGTGATCTGCTTGAGCATCTCCCCCAATATAGTCTAAAAAAGCAGTATTGGTGATCACCAATACCATCCTATTGGGGATGAAGCATTGGTGAGCTGCTGGAGATGCTCTAAAGGAACTTATCATGCTGGACAGAGCAGCACATTGTCCATTACAGCCTATGGGAATAAGCTTGTGAAATGTATTGGAAGTTATTGATTGTTTTGCATTGTACCAACACCACGCACACCAGTTTAAATTCCTAAAGCCACACAATGATAAGTTCAAGCAAGAGCCAGTCACCTATAAGTAAGAAGTATAAAGCCTTAAAATCCATGCTCAAATTGGATGACGCTGTTTACAGGTGAACATGTTGGACAAGAATATCACAGTTTTCATTCACCTCGTTAGGGAGTCCATCCCCAAACTCCATAGCTTTGGCTTCAGCATCAGATATCTACCAGAACCAATTTTATTCTACAAAACTCTACAGCGTCAAAGATCATATCATAGCCAACAAAACAGGGCAAACAGGTGTCTCGGGAGAATGGCCCTGCAGTCCACAAGACTCCTTTTTTTTTCCTAAACTATTTCGACCCCTGTGCGGAACGGACAGAGGATATTTCAAGAGTCGGTTAACACTCAAAGAAATGCCACTAGCAAACAGATAATCCATTCCAGTGGGACGAAAACAGTGGAACATATTTCAAGAGGCCGAGCTTACCATTGGGTATGTCCTTGAGCTTCGTTCCAGAGCCCTGCGGCACAAAAGCGGGGAAAACAGATGAGGAACAAATGAACAAACCTCCGAATCAGAGAAACGCAGACGGCAGTACTATTAGCATGGAAAAGGGCGTGTTCCAAGAGGCCAAATCATCCTTAAAAGTAGCTATTTTTAGCAAGCTAGTAAGTACGACAGCAGCTGGGACGGACGCCGCGGGGAAACAACAGATCAGGGGCCGGCGAGACACACCCGAGCGGGAAAGAGAGAGGAGGGAGTCGCTGATGGCTCACCTGGACAATAGCGGGGGACTTCTTGGCGGGCGTGGCGCGCGGCGCAAGCTCCGCGTACCTCTCGACGGTCTTCCTCTCCCTGGACGGGCGCTCGACCGCGGGGCCGGCCGACTTCTTGGACGTCGGCGTCTTCTTCTCGGCCGCGGCGGCCGCCTCGCCCTTCTTCCTGCGGCCGCCCCGCTTCTTCTCCGGCTGCTGCTGCTGCTTCTGCGGCGTGGCCTCCTCCTCCTTCTCCTCCTCCCCCGCGGGGGGCGCGGGGTCGGCGTCCATGGGGTCGGCGGCGGCGGCGGCCGCGGCCGCCTCGCCCTTCTTCCTGCGGCCGCCCCGCTTCTTCTCCGGCTGCTGCTGCTGCTTCTGCGGCGTGGCCTCCTCCTCCTTCTCCTCCTCCCCCGCGGGGGGCGCGGGGTCGGCGTCCATGGGGTCGTCGGCGGTCGGATCCGCGGCGGGCGGGGTCGCGGGCTTGGCGGCGTCGGCGGAGGCCATGGGCGGGAACGGGAAGGAGGATTGGATTAGCCGGCTAGGGTTTTAGGCAGGCCCGCGGGCGTGGGGGGAGCCGTGGGGAGGAGGAAAAGGGGTGAAATTTTTGGGAGGCGGAGCGGGGCGGACGCGGACGGGGCGGGGGCAGGGGAGGCGGGCAGGAGAGCCAGCGAGCTGAGGAGGGGCTGGGGCGGGGCGCGTGCGTGCGCGTGTGCGTGTCCGGACCGGCTCTCCGCTGGGCGCAGCGCACGCCTGATAAATGGCTGGGTGACGTGTGACGCGATGGGATCGGGATGGGATGGGATGGGATGGGATGGATCTCGCGCGGGGGAGGGGCGGATTGGATTGGATCGGATCGGATCCCCCGCGCGCGCGCGCACCTGGCGCCCAGTCCCGCCGGAACCGCCTGCTTTGCGCGCGCGGTTTGGATCGGATCGGATCCCCCGCGCGCGCGCGCACCTGGCGCCCAGTCCCGCCGGAACCGCCTGCTTTGCGCGCGCGGTTTCCAGTTTTACCGTTTTGCCCTTTTCCTGTCATCTTGTGATTGTAATATGAAACTCCATAAACCTCCTAGAATCCGCGCTCTCGCAGCCATCCTGGTTACTGTTTTAAATCTGTCCTTTCATGTTAGGCACCCGTAATTTTGTTCTTTCATAATAAACTGGTTTGCGGCGCTATCGTAGCCAACGAACTTCGTGCCGTTTGTTGCGAACACACGTGTGCCGTATGCATTCGTCGTGCTCATCCACAGCCCTCGGATTCGATACGGTGAAGTTTGCCGGTAGGAGTACAGAGTTCTCGATAAAATACACGCTACGTTTTGATACCTTTTTTTTCGCGACTCGCTACTACGTTTTGATACTGTAGGTGAGAACCCAGACGGCGTTTCAATAGTTCTTTTTTTTCTTTGGCGAAACAAAAACTAGTGGCGTACCGCACGGGGGCCGAATGGTAACTGGCCATGGGCGGGGGACCACAGAGCAGGAGTGCTGCTGAGCCTGCACCTTGGGCGGCAAGCGAAAATGGCAAATTCATGCGGCAGCGGGCGGCCGTTCAAAAATTTGGGGACGGAACTTGCATTGCAGGTCCCCCAACGACCAACCAAATTTTGGCACCGCGCGCGACTTCCAGATACCGGCCGCCCGCCCGCCAAACTGGATGAGCCTCGTGTACTTGGGCTCTCCCAGTTCATTGGGTCCGATGAGGCTATGCGAACGGGCCCGTTAGAATGTGCCTCCCAATGCGCTCTCAAACTCCGGGCCCAGTAAGGCGATCACGTTGGGCTAAGAGCAACCGTGTAATCCCTCCTTCCAAAAATATTTACATGTGGCTTGGACACGGCAACCAAGATGAATAGAAAATTACCAAAATACCCTATAGATGTCAGCCAGTTGCGGTGGTGAACTGATGGTTGTGGAGAGGCAGAAGGGACTTGCAGAGAGTGTCATTTCACAGGTTGAGTACAGCTTCCTTTTTTATTATTTTACTAGGTAGCGTGCCCGTGTGTTACTACGAGATAACTAACAATTTATACTAAATATATACGGATCGCACGATAAAATAACAATATTGTAAAAATTAAATACCAACGTTAAAATGGCATTTAATCCAAAAAAACAAAGTTTATGAATTTAACACGGTCACAGAGTACGCGGTGTCGCAGGCTCACAAATGACCGTGCGCGGCGTCGCAGGCTCACAAACTCTACTTTATAGACCTTTTCGTGATGCGGCTAAGATAATGTTTTATATTGGTAGGAAGAAATCTCTGATATCTATTTCTTTCATTATAATCCATTTATCTGGATAATGTTTGAAGTGAGGGCGCGGTTATAGTTTTTAGTAGCTTTGTGATATTGTCCGAAGCTATGAGATAATTGATGTCTTGCAATGATTCTTTCAATTAATTTAGTTTTCTATCTATGTTTAATTGTTTATTCAGTCTATTTTACAGGCACATCGGTAGATAATGGATGACAAAATTCAAGCATCCATAATTTATCTCTTTGACTTTGAGCATGAGTTTTGTTTTTATTTTTTAATTGATATATTGTCCTTTTATTTTTACCGTAGCGTTAGCACGAACATGCATGAAAAACGAAGATGTCTTTACACTGTAGAAATCTTTCAAGAAGATCATGCAAAGATTATTCTTGTATTGAATATTATATATATACAATCACTTAAATATTCTAATTAAACTATATAATTTTAAATTAGAATACGAGATAAGACATGCAAATAAATATTTTAAAACTACCTGTAGAGTCAAAAAACTTAATAAATAAATTCTTCGGGATGCAATGTAAATTCTCTCTAATCTTTCATTTGGTGTAGTTAGTGTTATCATAGTACCCGCATGTATTCATGGGAAATAAATCGTGGATAAAACGTGGACATTTTTTAATGTGACATTCCAACATAGGTCCATTGTCCTATCAATATCCTTGAGGCAGATCACATAAAAGGATGAGAGTGCCTCTATGAGATTGCTCACAAGAGCTCAAACTTATATCTGATCATAGTAATATTGAATTGCTTTGCATCAAAAGTATCGGTAATGATAAACGGGGACATAGGTTTTATTATGCATAGCGGAGGAAAACTCAAACTTGGCTTTCTCAGCAGCTTTTCTGAACTTTTGCAGTGCTAACTTGTTCCTACTCAGATAGTCAAAAGGTACACCATAAAATTATGCACCACTAAGAAAAAGTGTCACCATTGATTGCCTTGACCTGAAAAATGTGTCAAAATTAAGAATTACAACACCTAATTCAACATCTTAGAACAGACACTCAAGTGGATACCTTATTCTGCAATATATATCTATGTGGAACAGTCCTAAAGTCACACATATTTATACGATGAGCATAACATACTTTGTTTTAAAATTTTATGAGAGATTTTTTAAGACACGCAGTATTATCCATGTGACAGGCACTAATATTTACATATATACTTGAACCTATGTATACAGGATTATATGGAGATGCAGCGAAACTTATTTATGGATTTATTGGCGCATAAAAGAAATGGATATCGAAGAATTCTTTCTGTCGATCTAAAATATTATCTTAGCCATATCACGAAAAAAATCTATATATTAGAGTTTGTGAGCCTGCGACGTCGCGCTCTCCATTACTGTGTTAATTTCACGAACTTTGCTTTTTGAGTTAAATGTCACTTTAACGTCAGTATTTAATTTAACAGTATTGCTATCTTATCATGCGATCCGTATGTTTGTAGTACAAGAAATTTAGTTGTCACGTACCAACGCACGAGGCACGCTACCTAGTTGAATATAAAAGAAAATAACTGGCTACTTTCGTACATATAATATACGTCAGTTAAGGTTTTGTTTGAATTAACTCAGTTCGCGAACTAATAGTAATAACTAAATGAGGCATATATCGAATTCTTTTAGCCACTGCTTGTGTGCAGAAACGAAAAACATCCCAACCGCGCTTGCCCTAATATAAGTATTTGAAGTAATAAACCTTTAAAGAACATCAACGTACCTCTCTTCGAGAGCAGCATGATTTCGATGCATGATTATTGTTTCCTTCCATACATGTGGCCTCGGAAATCGATTTGTTTCCTTCAAAGCAGGCGGGGATCGTATGGATGACAGTTTCTTTTTCTATCGCGCGGGGTATCGCGCGGGCGAAGAGAGGAGCGATCCAAAAAAATCGCACCAAAAAATTATCTTACTTTTATTCTTTTTAGTCGTCGGAGATTACGGCAGCATGGGTCAACGGCCACGGGCAACTTCTGGATGGGCCGACGATAGAGCCTCCGTTTATTTGTCTTTTTGTTTTCCTTTTGTTTTTTAGTTCTTTTTATTATTATTATTTTAGTCGGACACGCTGACGCTGTGCGGCTGTCATATACGGATGACTGTCTAGTGCTGCACTGCTACGATGGTTCCTGCCACTGGTGCAATGTACTACTCCAAAAGTGATCAATTAATTTGAGAAAAAAATTAAACTCCAGACGTGCAAATAAACCCGGACGGAGGGAGTATAGCATACTATTTGATGTGTAGGATCTATGCTAAAAAAATTCGTGCCCAGTGATGCGATACAATGAATTATTGGTTTATCTTGTATTTTGTTTGTTTAATAGTTTTAAAATAGTTAAAAATAGGTAAAAATAGAAAGTGTATGTCCTCTATGTAGTGTTATTAATGCTGTGATGTCCTGTTAACCATAATATGTCTATGGTGTTACATGAAATATTGAGTTATTGATTTATCAAGGTGTCACGAGTTTTATTGCATTTATTTAAATATTAATTAAGCGCCAATAAATAATATAATTATCCAGAAATTATGAAATTTATACCACACTTATGTTTTGTTAAGATGTACCACCCGCAAAATTTTCATCTTTAGAATAGATGTTTGGCGCACCACCTTTTTTATTAGTGTTTGTGTCTAGTTAATCAAATACGGTTAATAGATACTTAATAATAGACGTGTATGCATTCTCTCTTTATTTGTGTTAGGCCACATGTTAAGTAAGCAAAGTGTTAATTAGCTCTGTTTAGTTGTGGATACGTGCTTAACATGTTGTTTTAGTTTTCACTTGTATGTTCAAATGAAAATTTCATTATTTTGATAACTTGTGTTATGTTGTTGGTAACCAATTCACAGTATAAAGCTAAAGTAATCGAGAGTGGAACCTTGTGACGATTAGCTAACCCAACGACATGGTGTTTGGCCTTTTCGTGTTTTATAAACATCTTTGTTATACATGTTTCGCTTAAGCATGCATTGCATTCATACATATCATTTAGGTATGATGGTAGTTGATGGGTCGATTGATGGGCTATGGACTCGAACCACACGGCGGTGTAATGGTGATTCAGACCCGAATATGGAGAATGATCGTATCATGAAGATGCAACATACTTAATATGACGCAAGTTACGTAGGCAAGCCCTAGTGCATAACCCTATTTTACAAACACTTTTTTATATTGATGTGCATTAAGTTGCAAGAGTTGC